TCACACTGAGCCTGGTTCTGCTGGAGGTTTCTTCCTGTTAAAAGGGAGTTTTTCCTCTCCACTGTCGCTACAAGCATGCTTAGTGTGAGGTATTGCATTTGAGTCAATGAGTCGATGCAATCAACTGGTTTTCCTTAGATAGAAAACTTTGAATCAATTTGACTGTATTATCTGGTTGGACTGTAAAGTGCCTTGAGATGACATGTGTTGTGAATTTGGCGCTATATAAATAAACTGAATTGAATTGAATTGAATTAATAAACAATCTCCCCAAAGATTTATTTCATCAGTTGTTTCCGCTACAACCCAGTTGCCTTGGTAACATGCAGTTAGTAAGATGGTGGCTGATTTCAGCATCTGTGGTGTTTCTGTGATGCTGCAGTTATTGGTTTTTATTGTCATAAATCTATCATAACTGAGCTGAAGTGACACCTGTGTCCAACAGGAACTTAGGGAGCGCGTGCTGAGAGGAAAGTACCGTGTGCCCTTCTACATGTCAACCGACTGTGAGGCAATCATTCGGCGATTTCTGGTGCTCAACCCAGCCAAGCGCTGGACGCTGGAGGTAAGCGCAGACAAGAGCAGTAGAGGTACAAATGATCGCCACTGATGTCCAACCTGAAGGGTATCTGTTCTCCTGTGCTCACAGCAAGTCATGAAGGAAAAATGGATAAATGCAGGGTACGAGGGGGATGAGCTGAAACCACATATTGAACCGGTGGAGGACTACAGTGATCCCGCTCGCATCGGTCAGTCAGCTGGATTGTTGTCAGCTGCAAGATATTTTTCATGGTGTTGTCTTCTCTTACCTGTCCGTTCTGCTTGTGTGTGTGACTCAGAGCTAATGGTGGGGATGGGCTTCACCCCTGAAGAAATCAAAGATGCTCTGCTCAATCAGAAATACAACGAGGTCACCGCCACCTACCTACTGCTGGGTCGAAAAGGCGATGTGAGTCTGCTGTTTCTTTGTTTCTGCTGACTAATCATCCTGCAAAATTACATGAAAGGGCATCAAATGGATGATCTGAAACCTTGTAGAAGAGAGAATGAAGTTATTCTTGCATGTATTATGATTGAAGATGCACCAAATGAATCATAGACCTGTTATTTCATGAGAATGTCACAGAAACAAGTCTTTTTTTCCTCATTCTTCCCGTTGGGAATTTGTTTCTTAGGAGCAGTCTCTCTTTTTATTGAAAGTAGTTTGTAGAAAACCAGGTCTCCTGAAGTTCAGAATTCAGGAACAATATGACAACATTTTATTTCTATATCAGTACTTTCATTTGGTTAGCAGCACACCTATCAACACACAAGCTGCTGTCTGTGTGTTCTCTACAGGCTTAGACCCAAAAGGCTGCTAACATTTTCTGTGCCAGGTTGTTTCATGACAAACTTTTTAAGATTAAAGGTACTTGTAAGCATTTGTTCCACTCCACATCCTACTTTAGCACCAATCCTAAAGACTGTGTAGAAATCTTACAGAAAAATGACTGCCCCTTTTTGAAGACAAGAAGAGGCTTTGGACATTATATTTGTAGATTCCTCATTGGACGCTGGCCAAGGTGCCTTGAGGGCGGCCATCTTGGATCAGGTCACAGCTTCAGGCAGCTGCTGTCAGAATAAATAGGAGGAGCCTTAGATCTCATTTTAATCGCATGAAAGATGAGTCAGAGATAATATTACAATAATCTCTTACATGTCACAACCTCTTAAAAAACCAAAACAAATTTTAAAATTACCTTTCATTTAGATTACGCATTTTTATTCAGATTAAAAACTTTTTAAACTGAACTCAAACAGGTGATATATGCAAAGTTATATATTTTGCAATAAAGTATTAATATGATAAACACAAAATGTTACGTACATTTTTTGTAAGATTATTGTTTACAAATATTATTTATATAGTAGATTTATATAGTATATTATTATTAATTTTGTCTTTATTATTATTATTATATTATTATTATTATTATTCAGTATTTTAAAGATTGGACAAAAAAGTCTTAACAATAACACAAAATAAATAAATAAATATTTGGCCAAAATATCAGGCACTGCAAGGAAAAGTCAGATGAAGAATTTAACACTACAAATGCTGTGTTGGCAATGTTCTGTGCACATTGTAGATACAACAGGCCTAAATTAACCTGTGAGAGCAATCAAATGTAAAAGTGGTCGAAGCAACAGCCAGAAAAGGTGAACAGAGAGAAATGATTTGTGGTCATCACCTCTCAACCATCTTGGTCATCACCTGTCGTTTCCACCAGTTACTTTCTCTATGTTCACAACAAACGGAAAACGGATTCACCACCAGTGTTGCTTGATTACACTGAGATGGAGTGACTGGGAGATACAGTTGTTAAGCTTTATTCTTGGCTCATGGTTTCCACAGAGTAAATGAATTAAGAGCTTTAAGTTGGGCATACGCTGTACGATCTTTGCCCTCGCGACCACCTCGATCAGAAATCGTGAGGTCGGGAGAAAATCAAACATGTTTCAAATTTGGTCGGCCATCGTGAGGTGTTTGTGGACAAATTCTGCAGTTGAAGCAGAGCTACGAGCTGATTTACCAAAACCTCGAGCACTGCGCATGTGCAAAACATGGAGTTCTTCTTCTTCCAGATTGACGAATCCGACCTGTGCAATCTCTTGGCGTGTGTTTGGACATGCAGTGTGAAGAGGTAGATTGCATTAGAGCGTCGGGTTGTACACTGTAGAAATGATCTAGCAATAAGTAAAATGTCTTAAATGACGTGTATTTACCATTAATTTGAGCGGATAAATAAGATGATTTGCCACTGGAATGAGCATTCTTACACTTAAAATAAGATAATTAGATAATGTACTTGTAATAAGACAATGCAATTGTTTTTTTTTTTATTTTAAATGTAAATTATCTAGTCCCATTGGCAAAGTGTTTCACTTACCTCCTCAATTCAAGAAAAAATTCATTTTATTTAAGAAAAATTACTCATTTAGATTGAAATGTTTTGCAGTGTACAGTGTAAGAACATACATGGAGAGCTGGGAACTTTTAAACCCTGCAGTTACGTTGTACATTTTGAGCAGTAGCTTCCTGCAACAATTGAAAATATCACAGAGTGTATGCCCGGCTTTACTGTTGGAGAGATGGGAATTCTCATCTTGACCAGATCTGGTCCAAAAAATAAAATCTGACATTTCAATTTCTGTGTTTTGGGGCTTATTCATGAAGTGAAGTCCATCTGTGTCTCTGATCTACTGGGAATAATCTTCCACTTTTCTGGACAGAACATTTCTTTTGACTTATTTCTCTGTACTGAAGAAGTAGAACTATTTTGAAAGGTTGCTGATCCCAGTATTGATATATTTTTTTTAACCATACTGGGTAATTTAGTGGAGGATCCCCACTGTGAACTCATTCATTATTCTTATCAGCAGCTGAGGCCTGTTGAGTGTTTGAGAAAGAGCAGAGTCACATTATTTCAAGAAGATCTACAAAATCTTTCTATTTTGTGTTTAAATGTTAATATAACAAAAATGGGGCAGACATTTTTTCTAACCTTTACAAGCAGTTAGCATGCTAACTGTCAAGTCAATGTATAGACTTTCTTGTTATCAGACATCACCTCCTTTATCGGCCTCCAGTTTCTATCACTATCTCGCTCTACTCCAGAAATGCATTCAGCACAGAACTTCCTGTGTAGAAGTTGACTCAAGTAGAAAGACAATGTCGAATTGATATTGTTTCCACGGGTCATTATTAATAATTAAAGTCATTAAATTTTTATTTTTGTTTAAATTAAGGCCTTAATTGGCATTACAATTAATTAAATGTGATTATCATGGCATTTAAAATGCGATATTAAAACCCAAAAAAATGTTCTAAAAACAATTTAATCAGATATATTATATCGTAATATATTTGCGCGGAACTGCATTAAAATTATTTTTTAAGAGCATTCAAAGAGCATTAGAAGCATTAAATTAGAGTTACTCATTCCTGTATAAACCCTGATCAAGCCACAGACTAGTGAACGAGGTCAAAGCTCACTGATGCAGGAATGGACAATAGATAGATGGGAGCAGAAAACTGCTGAGAGGTGGACCTGCTCAGAGTTTCTTGAGACGCTGAATAAAACTCTACAAACTAGCGCCTGCCTGAACTGCACGGCAAAATAGCGACAACTAAATAAGTAATTTTTTTCTTAAAATAATTGCATTTTTTCTTGAATTGAGGAGGTAATTGAGGCACTCTGCCAATGAAATAAGAACAATATGAAAAAAAACTATTTGTCTTATTTCATGTGCATATTATCTATTTATCCTATTTTAATAGTAAATACACTCATTCCAATGGCAAATCATCTTATTCATGTAGCTACTCAAATTAAGGGTAAAAACACTTGATTTAAGATTTTTTTTTTATTATTTCTACATCTTTTTTGCAGTGTGAGTATTCAGTTTTTGTAACTGTTTTTTTATGTCTTCCGCAGCAGGCCTTTATGCCATCTATAATCATCATATCATTGAAGATAAGCTGGCTTCATGAACATTAGACTGTTTATATATGAAAGCTGTTTTATTGGTTAAAGAGAGATTTATTGTGTTAAACTAAGGTTATGATGTGATGTCATGTGTGTCTGCTGCGGCACATTTCAGGAGAGCAATGAGGCTCGCACTGCTAGCACACTGTCTCTGGCCAGGGTCCGACCCAGCCCTATCACCAACGGGACAAACAAACACTCCTCTGTCACTGGCTCCTCCTCCTCCTCCACCTCCTCCTCTCATAGCAAGTCGCAGCGCAGCGCCTCCACCTACCACAGACAGCGGCGACACAGCGACTTCTGTGAGTCTCTTCTCGGATGTATTTCCATCCTGAAACGNTTTAAAAGCCTTGCCCTCATAATTTGCAAGTTAATTTATTTATAAAGAAAATATAAACGCTGCTTAAGCTAATTCAAATGAAATTAAAAGTAAAATAAGTAGCCAAGCTTATCACTGTCTGTAGCCTACTAACAAGGTAAGGAAAGCATCAGATGAGCTACCTGAGAAACTAACGTAACTTTTCCCCACTTTAAAATGAAACAAACATGGTTACTCATCCTGCTGATCAGCTCTCTTCACTGCCATTGAAGGCTCCAACGTGTTTTCTTTTCAGGTGCTGCATCATAACAGTGGTGCTTCCGTGCCATGTTCATTTGTTTTTACAAAAGTTGCATGTTACGACTTTTTTCGCTTTACAAAGCGCAGGCTGTCTGCGAATTGAGATGCAGTTTGCGTTTGCGGTATCGGTCATTAGAAGAGTTGACGTTGCTGCCTTTTGAAAACAGCCTTTGCTCACCTGCGGCGCTGGCTCCCTCTGCCGTATTGTTTTCTTCTTCCCCCGTTTCAATCAAGTGGCAGTGATGACGACGGCGGCGGATGACGCATTAATCGCGTGACACAACTAATCGATAATTAAATTCGTTGCCAACGCTTTTAAAAGTCGATTTTTATCGATTTTATCGATTCGTTGTTGCAGCCCTATTTTGGACCCGTCTATACCGTGAGTCACGGAATATTCCTTATGTGAGTCTCTGTGTGTCTGCGCTCTGCTGTCCTCCACAACAAAGGCGGGCCTTCCATGCCCGTCATGCACCCCAAGAGGAGCCCGACCAGCACTGGGGACCGCGAGCTGCGTGAGGGCCGGATGCCGTCACGTAAAGCCAGCTGCAGTGTGATGGGAAGCCATAGCCTCCCCCCCTCCAGCCCCATGGTTAGCAGTGCCAACAACCCCAACAAGTCTGAGATCCCAGACCGCCGCAAAGACATGACTGCCACCACGGTGAGTGAGCCAGGGTGGATATAATTCTGGGAAGTACAGGAACATGTCAAACAGGGTTTAGAAGAAAATTCATATAATTTGAGTATCGGATGGAGCTGATAGGATCTCTGCTGCTCTGTCTGTGGTTCAGAGGGTTTCCTCAACAGATGAAGGTTGGGATCCAGGCCAGAGTTCTACACTAACCAGTAGCTCTGCACATTTTTTATCTCAAGAACCTCAGCTAACATCTACCTCTTAAACTGCTGGTCTCTGTGTAGAATAACATCCCTGGAAGCACCATGACCCGTCGGAATACATACGTGTGCACAGATCGCTCGGGGGCTGACAGACACTCTCTCCTGCAGAACGGCAAAGAGAACAGGTAAAGTATTTGGCTCAGGGTTAACATCCTGGTTAGAGGAGTTTATTTTTTATTTTTAGCTAAAATAGACATATTTCATTTTCATGTTCTGCCGAATTTATGGAAATAATAAGTTGATAGCATGACAGGCATATTTAGCTTCTCTTTTTAGCCCTAAACGCTACAAATCCCCTTTTGCCTCCAATCCGAAAGAAAAGCGTGGCGGACAATTCTGGCGCTTAGCGCTCATTGTTTGTAAACTGATCAATAAAAGTTGAAAGTGAAAAAATATAATTGGATATTGAATGTCAAATTTTTACCTTATAATCTGAGAAAAAGATTATAGTTTCAGATTTTTATATTTTCAGATTCAAATCCCTTTCTTTCAGTTTCTATTTTTTTAGGTTCAATTTCCCCTTTCAGTTTCACAGGATTTTGCCAAAAAGGCAAATAGCTCTGACTGAGATAGACCACAGGTCTATATTAGTCAGACTACGCAGCAATTCAGTGGAAATCTCATGGGTCTGACAGGAAGAGAGACGCAGTTACAAAATAAAACTCATCCGCTTTTGGGGAAAATACAAA